TACTTATACTAAGTGAAGATGACATGGAAAAGGGATGGGATGCGGATAGAGTTGAAGGTAAGTAACGAGACGGTTCAATTTCATTTAAACTAACTTTATTAATCAAACTTTACCAGATACACAATAATTGTACAAAGTGGATTGTAGAAATTCGAGAGGCACTTAAACAGATCCTCTCTAAACATGTCTTTAAAGTTTTGGCAAAATCCGGATGCGATAAAATCAGATATAACATTTTTACAAAACTGTAATTATTACCTGTAGTTTCACTATTCCTCAAAGCACGGCGCTAGGTCGATATTCCATTCCTAAGTATCCACTGTAACACGAGTGAGGTGGTCTAATAAACCTTCAGATTCGTGATCCTGCATTTTTGGCGGTAATGCGAATAATGGTTGACGATCAGTGTGACTAATGTCGTCGCTGTGATAGTCTGGGGTACGATTTTACAGTAAGCCAAGAAGATGGGTATTACCGGGTTAATCCCGTTCCTAGAGAAAGCCTCAAGAAGAACAAACATCAACGAATTCGCCGGTAAAACTGTCGCGATCGATTCTTATTGTTGGCTGCACAAAGGCGCGTTCTCTTGTGCCGAGAAACTGACTTCTGGACGGCATACGAACTCGTGAGTCAATTATCATTATTCATCTCTGTTATACAGGAAAACGTGTGAATTGTTTGATCAAAGCTTCGTTCTAGATACGTGAATTATTGTATGAAGTACGTGGATATGTTGTTATCGCATAATATAAAACCAATTCTCGTATTTGACGGAAGACATTTGCCTGCTAAGGCACAAACCGAGGCCAAACGACGGGAGTATGTGACTCAGATTAAAATTTATACCGATATTATAGATAACAGAATCATAATTGTGGGAAGTATATCTTTCGTTTAAATTTAGGAATAGGAGGGCAAACCGTGAGAAGGCTGATCAACTAATGAAAATGGGGAATTACGCGGAAGCAAACAACTTAAGAAAGAGATCAATTGATATTACACACAAAATGGCTTTAGAATTAATTAAACAATGCCAGAAGATAAACGTCGATTGTATTGTTGCACCTTATGAGGCAGACTCTCAGTTAGCGTATTTAAACATTAATGGAATAGCTGATGTGATTATTACAGAGGATAGTGATTTACTGTTGTTTGGTTGTAAGAAGGTACATATACGTCTGTAAGATCTACGGACTAATTATAAAGCTTAAGTAGTCTAAGGTTCAGTAATGTGTTACAGGTATTTTTTAAAATGGACATGTATGGCCATGGCCTCTTAATCGATCATGAACAACTGTACCTTGCGATGGATACGAGTCGAGAGAAGTTTAGCATGGACGATTTTATTCATATGTGCATTTTATCAGGCTGTGATTATTTGCCATCCCTTCCTGGAATCGGGTTGGGTAAAGCACGAAAGTTTATTAAACTGAACACAAACTGTGATATACATCAAGTAAATATCATTTTACGCGAAGCACGCAAGATGATACGGGCGTATTGACGACGTCGTTTGTTCGTAGGCTTTAACACGATTGGGATCGTACTTAAAAATGAAATCGTTAGTCGTTACGCAGGAGTACAGAGATGCATTTATATTCGCAGTCGTTACCTTTAGACACCAGTTGGTTTATTGTCCATTGAGAAGGAAACAAGTCCGCTTGAATCCAGCACCGCCCGACGTGACGAAAGAACAGTTGCATTACGCGGGCGAGGAAACCGATCCGGAGATCGCGTTGCAGCTTGCTCTAGGAAATTACGACCCTTTTACTTTAGAGAAACTTCACGATTTCGACCCTGACAGAGCGGAGGTAAACGATCTCGGGAACGTTAGTGAGCGAACGAGTGTATAATTTGTTACACGTAATGTTTCAGAATCGAAGTACGGGACGAACGTCGTCTCAACGTGCCAGCATATGGTCGAAAAAATATAAACTAAGAAGTGACTCGCAAGAGTCGCCTCCCAAAGAGAATTCGGTTCTGAAGAAGTCTGTAAATAATCGTAGAAGTCGTTTAACGAATGTAACACTCGTCGGGCGAGAGGATAACTTCGGTACGAAATTGGTCTTTAAATATCTGAGAACGAACGTACGCATGTTAAACGTGTGGAATTGTTACAGAGTGCGAGAAATTGAATCAACAAGAGATTCTAAATTTATACGAATCCGGAATGGCGACGGGTATTGGAAATAATTCGGACGTGAACGAGGTACCCCTCGAGGAGAGTAAAAAGTCTCCCGATTTGACAAAGCGAAATCCATTTTTAAAACAGTCGTCTGTCAGTTCTCCGGATGCACGATCTTCTCCCGAAGAACGTGCAACTTCGCCCGTTTTGACGAGGGATAGAATCATCGGACGATTACCTGGTAGCGACAATGAGACCTCTCCGAGTTTTCTAAATACAGATGTTAATCAGATAAAATCTAGATACATAAGGCGCGGGAAGCGTCCCAGACGCAGAATCGTATTACCTGAAGGAGTTATCACCGAGAGTAAATTCTTCGCTAAGACGACTTCCGAAATGAATGTTGAAAACGAAGAGAGAACCGGTATAAACGAAATAGACAACACTCATTTAGGAACAAATGGCGAAGTAAAGAACGTTTACTTCGATTCTCCCGAGAAGTCTAATGAAAAAGCAGATTTACATGTCGCAAGTAACGACAGACACAGCACATCGCGTGTATTGAACAAATGGAGAAATGAGAATCCTTCGAATCGCGACATGGTTCAAACGCATCCGAATGTTATAATTGATGAGTCGCCCTTGAAGGAAGACAATACAAATAAATTAGAAGAATCACTTTTAAGTGAATCGATGAAGAAGAATAGTATGAATGAATTAGAAGAATCGCTTTTAAGTGACTCGATGAAGGAGAATAATATGAATGAATTAGAAGAATCGCATTTGAACGTATCAGTAAATGAGCCCATGAAGGAAAAGAATATAAGTAAATTATACGATTTAAATCGTCCGTTAATATCACCAGAATTTGACATAGACCCCGACTTCTTGGTTCAACGCGGAGTTATAGACGCTGTAAATTGTAGTTTCGGATGGTCTGATAACAATGTTCGTCGAGGATCTCCTAGTAATAAGATGAAACAAACTAAGAGTTATTCAAACTCTCGAGCAGTAAGCACGTTAGAAATAAGATCCAAGAATGCAGGACTATATCGATTAGTACTGAGAACGTGTTAAAATATATTTTTTCAGAGTATATATGGAAAAGCGAAGGACGGTACACGTCGGAAGCAAATAGGTTTAGAAAAGAGGCAACAGAGTTTATTGAACTTCTTCGACGCGAAGCGAAAGGTAAGATAGATACCGAACGTCTCATTTCTGAATCATTTACATCAAACCAATTTGCAGAAATAGCTTTAAAAGCATGGTTCCTAGTACAAACACTGATTTAAGACTGCATATTAAGACGAGATGATAAATCGAAACTGCCAACATTTTGTTTAGCCGATGCATAGCTACGGAGTTCGATAATAATTTCAGGCAGCTGTATGTATATTTTTGTCACACTGGAGTCCTATTTATTTTTAATTGTTTCTGTGCTCGTAGTATTTAAGCAATTGAGCGAGCTATACTGACCTGTTGAATTGACTCACTCGATTACTTTATGTTATTTACTTTTCATGTGTTCGTTCTTATTTTGTTGTATGTACATATTGTTACATCGTTGCGTCGATCAAATGCTAATTAATTTCTCACTCTCGAGTGCATTTACTATTATTGTTATTTTATATTTTATTATCAACATCGAATGTAGCCTGACGATGAGATTGAAATAAATATTCAGATATTTCATACACGTTCAGTTTGATAAAACTCGTTTCGAAGCTGTATTTATTTTCCTTTCCCATTTATCTTTGAACCCTCCTCTTTATTTCAGCATCAAAATCATACTATAGCTATCGATATAATTCGGTTGCCATGACGGCAAATTACAAACGATTCTTCCTCTGCATCAAATATTTTAAATATACATCAATGTTTTAGAGAATTATTTAAGGGACGTACTGTAAACTAAAGATGGCTATAAACAGTAGCATAGAGACGGTTTTAAACGAGTTAGGATGGGGCGATGGTTTTCGAATACCGGTGGCGAACGAGGAGAACAGACGATTGGAAGAAGAAGTAACGCAATCATATATTTTCATACGCGTCGATTCTTTTGTTTCACTTGTTGCCCTTCCTCGCGATAAACTAATAATAGCATTAGTAATAATAATTTAATCCTGTTTGAAGATCGAGAAGAAAATGAAGCTAAAGGAGAATTTGGACATCAAGCTTGGATCTACGGAAGATCGAATTAAAATGATAAAGAAGCAGCTTAGTAATTTAAAGACAGAGCAGGATATGAACCAGAAGCTTCTGACCAGCCATTCGACGCGGCTGAGGACGGAGGAGCATCATTACCGCTTGAACTGTAACGCTGAATCGAGCTTCCGGCAAGAAGCGCGAGACCTACATAAAGAATGGAAAGAAGTGAACGAGACTGTAACTAATATAGAGAAGGAGTTGGAGAAGATGACGAGGAAAGTAGAGACGTCGAAGAGCATGGTTCAATACGACGAGAAATGTCTAAAGGAATTGGAGGAGATATTGAATGAGAACGAGGACAATAATCAATTGATAGAACAGTACATGAAAGATGACCTGAAGGAGTATAAAGTAAGGAAGATAGCAAAAACGAAACTGAGTTCTATTTTTAATTCGATCTCTTTTAGGAATTGGATTTGAAGAGGCAAAAGCTCACCAAAGAATTACAATCGTATCGCGACTCGATCACTAGGACGACTAACGAAGCACGGGAAATGGAAATTATTCTTAATCGAACGTCCGCTTTATACGATCAGTCCTTAGCGGAGTATCGGCAAATGTTTAATCAGTGGAAAGAAAGCGTAGCGATGTTACAGCAGAGGAACGACGACATTAAGAAACTCATCCAAGTACGGTCATATTTCTTATCACGTTCTCATTTTAAATTGCATCGATTGCGATGGTCAAGGAACAATCGTGTGTAGGAGACTGAAACGTTGCATAACGTATCGGAGGAGAAGAGAAAGGTACTTCAAGAGTCAGAGAAATTCTTGAAGGAACAAATGGATAACAACAAGCAGCTTCAAGAGTCGATTAAGAAGCAGGAAAAGAATCTCGCTTCGATGAAAGAGGAACAGGGTAAAATGAAGGAAATGATTATCATGTACGAGGACCAGGTAACTGGAGATACAAGGGAATGGAGGATATGAGGGACAGTATCCTTAGTGATTAATATTGTTTTTAAAATCTGTAGATCGTCATACAGAAGAACATTCTGAAAGAGTTGACTCAACGTCTGCAACAAGTGAGAGCTGATATCAAACACAAGGAGTCACAGATTAAAATTAAATACGAAAAGATAGAAAAAACAAATAAACAAGTGACCGATCTGGCTGCAAAATTGGATGAAATCACTAATCAAAAGTTGGACATCGAAGGGAAGGCACGAGAACTCGAAGGGATGATCGAGGTACTGACCGTTAACCATTGCTCGTGATATGGTAAATAATGTACAATAATAAATGGGAACGAAAACAGGAACAGGAAAAGAAGAGGTCGAGAATGATGAAGGAAATGAATCGACTGCAAACGGCAAATTTACGTATTACAAATCAAATACAAGAGTTGGAGAACGAGAGCAAAGTTCTAAAAACGCAGCACGAGAAGGAATCTAAGAAGCATGAATATTTAGAGAAATTACACGACAAGGAGGAGCACTTTTTAGACGAGAAGAAGGAGGCCTGGTATCAAGTTAAATTCGAGCTTCAAAAGTCGGAGATGAAATTGGACAGGCTGAGGGGCTACGAGCACGATAAGTCTGAAGCTGAGAAGAAGCAGAACAAGATCGAGGAGCTCCAAAGCGTTCTAGACGAGAGGATGAAAGTCTCGAAATTGTTACAAAAACAAATCGGAGCTCTGGAGGTGCGTACAAAATGATCTCTTTTAACATTTGAACCGAGCATACGTTCTCGTTGCACAGGATGAAATGAGGAAAATATCAAGCAGCCTGGGGCATGACAACGACGAGCTGCAATACTTGAGAAACAAAAGACAAGACTTGGTACTTCTTATGAACGCAGGAGAGAAACAGCTAAAGGCCGCAGAGACTCGTTACGAAGAGAAGCAAGTAGAGGAAAGTATGCTCAGGCTGAGAGTGTCGCAAATGGAAAAAATGATATCCAACATCGGAGACAACGTTTACGACTTGGAGAGACATAAACTTGAATTAGAAGCGGTACGTATATAAGTAATATTTTAAATAAAAGATACGACAAATGATATTTTACTGTTTAGGCGATGCGAGAGCGGAGAGCGGAAATAGCGGTGCAAAAGGAATCGTTGATGATTCAAAAACGAGTGGCTGACAGCGAGTGCTCCGAGTTGAGATGCGCCATTGGCGAGAGAGCGATACGGATAAAACAATTACAAGCTAGATACGATAGCACGACGGCATTGTTGGGCAGTAATCCCGATGGTACCCCGATTAATACCACATATCTCAAGATTCAAAATGCGCAGGAGAAGTATCTTTTGCAAGAGCAAGGTGACAAGTTAGACGAAACGATCAGAAAAACGGAGGAGGAGATACAGGCGATGGAAAATACTTTACGAGTAGTGAACGTCTGCAATGACAAATATAAGATAACTGTGAACGCGGACGACGAGAAGAGGCCAGAAGCCGAGGAGCATAAGAAGTTGAACGAAGAGCTGTGGGGCGCGGAACAGAGCTTAAGAGAAAAGAAGGATGAATTGCAATCGTTAACAGAGGAGATGCAGGTATTGTACATTATATAAATCCTAGATACCTTCAAGAAATGGAAGGGACTATATTGGAGATATAACTGACTTTGACAGAAAATACAAGCCGAGTACCTGCAGATCTTAAAAGATACAGAGGAGACTCAGGAAAGTGAAGAGAATAAGAATCAATATTTGATCGATCTCAAACAGCAGATACAGGAACAGGAGGAAAAGATATCGAGAGCTAACAAAAGTTTGCAGAATGCCAAAAGAAGTATTCAAAGATTGTTCGAAACTACAGGAGATAGAAACGTGCTCGTACAAGCGGTTCGTACTGTTTCGTCACAGACGTTAAACCTATCTTAATCTATTTGTACTTTACAGAGAGAGATAGAACTGCGCGAGCTTCAAGACCAGAATACTGTCGTTTTACAAGACATCGCTGAATTCACTGTTCAACATATGGAAGCTGAATCTTACGTGAAAAAGCTGTTACTGTCTCGGAATATCGAATTACCGGCTATACCGTTATCTAGTCAATCACCAGCATCTAGTCAATCCCGTAGTAACGCGTCTTCGGAATATCGTCCGAAAAGTACAAACCGTGAAAGCGTTTATGCATCGTCAAGAGAAAGCATCGGACGCGTCGTCACGTTGGAACCGAATTTCGAAAGTACGTAAATTGCAACACGTATGAAACTATTAAATGAGAATGTTAAATGCTCCTACATAATTTCATAATAATATTTATATTTTAGCCGTTCCAATGAGGAACGCAGCGAAAAGGAACCTGAAACAAAAAGCATCTCTAAAATCTGTGCAATCGCAAATATCGAAGAAAAGTTTTTAACGCAATTATTTAGATATTAACTTTTTTATACCCATACCGAGAATTATGCACGAAGAATTGCGAATGACATTAAAAGATAATTAAAATCCTGATTGTCATCGAAACTGAGTTTTTAATTATACTTCCCTCTCTTATTAACATAAGCTTAAAATTGTAACATGAAAAATTGTTATCAATTTATTCGATAACATTTTCATCACGATTTGAACTATCTGAACTCTGCACGAGTAGGTTAACACTTTACGTAATTTTACACAAGGCAAGCTTATGCTATTTGGAATAACATCTGGTTTATTTATAAAATACGTTATTAAATTCAAATACAGTAGGAGTTTAACGTGTAATACAAAATCTTACGTACATACATATATACACCCGTGCGTACAGCTGAATAAACCTGTCTCCGCATCTTTCAATGTACGACACGTAACCTGACATAACCTAACCGTAATCCGACACGAAATATTCTAATAGCCGGCGTGACAAATTATCGGAGAATAAAATTCCGTTCACTTCTAACGATGAACGATTGTTTTCAGATGCCGGATATCAACGAGGTTTCCAGCAACAAAGTTTTCGGCGGATGGCAGAAAGTCTATTCGCACGAAAGGTTACACATCTTTATATTTGTTATCGTTCGACGACAGACCGATTGATTAATTGTTTTATGATGCAGCAATGAACTGGGATGTAAAATGAACTTTGGGATCTTCCTACCGCCGCAAGTAGACGAGGGCCCAGTACCCGTTATTTATTGGTTGTCTGGATTGACTTGTACAGAAGCTAATTTCGTTCAGAAATCCGGCGCACAAAAATATGCTGCTGAGCAAGGAGTGATTCTGGTTGTACCTGACACCAGTCCACGCAACGTCAATGTACCCGGGGAAGATGATGATTGCGATTTTGGAACAGGTGCTGGATTTTACGTCGACGCGACGAATGCACCGTGGGACAAGAATTACAGAATGTACAGCTACGTTACCAAGGAGCTACCAGCTTTGATCAATGAGAAATTTCCTGCTCTACCTCACGTGCAGTCCATAATGGGTCACAGGTAAAGAGAAGAGCCGGCTCGTATAAAGATCTCACAGTCTTGTCAGTGCCCGTTAATCGAATGAAAATTTCTGTCCGCAGCATGGGTGGCCACGGAGCATTGATATGTGCTTTGAAAAATCCTGGCTTGTACAAGACTGTCTCTGCTTTCGCACCTATAAGTAATCCTATCTGCTGCCCGTGGGGTAAGAAAGCTTTCTCCGGCTACTTGGGCGGAACAGACACAGATCCTACATGGAAAGAATGGGATGCCACGGAACTGGCTAAGAAGTACAATGGACCACCTCTGGATATCTTGGTCGATCAGGTATAGGAACGTAATAAAAATTGAAGCGAAAATTGATTTCATGAGATTTCTATCTCCAGGGAAAGAAAGATCAATTTTTAAAAGACGGCCAATTGCTACCGGAGAATCTGCTGGCAGCAGCGAAGGACGCTGGACTGTCGCTGGTTTTAAGGTTTCAAGAAGACTACGATCACAGTTACTTCTTCATATCGACTTTCATAGAGGATCACATTAAGTATCATGTGAAATATTTGAAATCTTAAACAGTATACCCTTGTTTACGTTAATTCCTTTCGTACTAATGGCTTTTATACGATGAGAGGAGTGCATGTAATGATAATTCGCTCGATGATAAAAAAATTCTATTTCCAATAAATTACTTACGCAAATATTATTACTTTGTAATTCTTCCTTCCTCCCTTTCTTCCTCACCCCCAGTCATTCTCGTAATTAGAAAACAGAAAGTTTACTTCCTTGTAGATTCACTTGTTATAACTTTTACAGTTTTTACATTTTCTTCGTAAAATTAAAAATGTGGCATATATTAATATTAATATTTAATTTGATAATAAAGAGAAATGTCAATGCTACTTAGGTGGTTCTCGTAGTTGGTGCCAAAACACTAATACTGGTTCACGTTTTTGCCATATATTAGCATTACCCCACATTTGCCAAAATCTGTAATGAATAAGACAAAGAGTGTAAAGACTCGCGTAGAAATGTTTCGACGATTTTATATACGTACATCCCGAATAACGCTCCGCCTAAATGAGCTGCATGGTCGAGACGTTGCCAACGCAAAAGGCAACCCACAGTATCGAGCCCCATCATAGCTTTAATCGCCTAACGATAAATAGACTCGTTAAAAATACATTGGTAAGAATCAAACCGAAGCGAAAGAGAACTATGGACTGACCGTGCTGGCGGTAAATTTTAACATAGGAAGAAAGACGATGGACAGATACATGTTCGGAAATTGGGTACATATGAATCCGAGGATGCCCATTATTGCTCCCGACTGAAACGAATAATGTTGATATAGTTCTCCATTCCGTTCGTCGACGTTCTATCAATTGATACTCACGGCTCCCAAGGAGGGCTCTTTCACTCCGATCACGGTTTTATATAAATGACTCGAGAAACTAGACACCACCCCGCTGGTCAAATAAAGAGCCAGAAACTGTTCTCTGCCTAATATTTTCACGCCGATGGTACAGAAATTGTATAACACGTACATGTTCACGATTAAATGAGGAAGAGAATAATGAGAAAATGTCAGCAACAGCATCGACCAACAACCACCTTAAATAGGAGACAGAATGAAATATTACGTTCCCCAGTGAACGTTTTAAAGTTTCAATAAATAAATTGCTGACCCGCTGCCGGACTGCTACAAAAATAACGATACATCGTCGGTCGAAGCACAGGTACGTGCCACGACAAGAATACCAGTACGTTTAAGAAACATATGGGGATAAACAGTTTTTCCCCCTCTGATAAATTGCTCCACCAGTCTTCCATATTACGTCTCCATCCTGTTTTCTAAACATAATAGATACTCTGACAATCTCTAATAGACCTCGTCGGTTCGACTCAAATTTCTTTATACAAACATGTATTCCCCATTGCTTGTAATTTCTGATCATCCTATAGGTTCTTTCTCTGATACGCTCATACTCCCAAATGGCAGCGGCAATAAACGTCGTTCCACTAAACTGGGTTGATGAAAACAGGTAAACTTATGATGTAAAAAAAATGGATTACACTTAGATTAATTCGGTGCGAATGGAATAAGAATTCTTGGCTACTTCTACACGATTAGTAAACGGTATCGATGTTCCCCTTACCATGACGGTGAAGGCAAATGGTTTCCATACATTAGGAGAACTATTGTCTGGCTGTTTCTTAAAGAAGCCATTTGGAAAGGACGACTTTGTTAACTTTGTTCTGCCTCTAAGTTTATTAAAATTCCTAATCTGTTTGTGTCCGTCGATAGCATACAATTTAGGCTTGAACTGTACAGTGGTAAAAACACTGGAAAGATCAGGAAAATAGTTATGCAGTTTTGAATCCCTTTTTGTACAGATCAAGGCTGAGAGAGTCTCACCATTTATACACATTATCACCTAAACGTAAGAAAGATTTGAAAGCCATTTTATAGGCGATCTATTGGAAACCAGGAGGAAAATATCACCAGCTGCACGTTAATTTTATGAAGCATCTGACGACGATGGTATACATGTCAAACTTCTATCACCTCTGAAAAAACGAAAACTACGTGAAACGAAACGGAACGAATTTGCGAAGAAACATTTGTTCACCTCTTATACAATTCATTTCTCCTGATTTCTCTGTACATACAATCTCGAGAACATAAAGGCTACACCGAATTGTGCAATTGGAAATTGCACATCATTCTACGATAAATTTACAACGATAACTGAATGGAAACGTATAAAAGTTTGACGCGTAATTTCAAGTTCAATTTTTTAACAATACTTGTATTAAATTTATGTAATGTTCGTATTGGCTGGAATCGCCGAGCGTCGTACCGTTATATACTTACAGCTACAGCTGATCAGAACTTGATTATCGTTTATTGCTTAAACATGACTTAATATGCAACAACTATTAAATAAGTATTAAACGTAACGTATAAGAAATATCAGAGTAGATATATGCTTAATTTCCATGCGGCCTGTTGGCAGTGATGGACACATCGTGGGATCTTTTTATCTATCATGCGCAATGCAAGTTACTAGTGTCACTGCGTTCAACGGAACAGCAGAAATGAGATACTATAGCAAATCTTACCAGTCAGATGAGCTTTATTTATTTACTATCGGAAGCGAACATTTTTGTAACATAATTATTAGTGAAAACCACGTAAAACTTTTCCTTTACACTATTCACTGATCCTGTCGCGAAAGGTACGAACAGACAAGAGTGTCTCATTCCCGATTGCTGCGCGAATTAAAATTTATGAAATGTGTCATGTGCTCGACATGTCGTGTAATAAATAGTTTAATTATCGACCTGTCCTTACTGTTCGAATGCCGTTCGTTTCTCTTCGATGAATTTCATGTAATGGGTATCATAGATCTCCTCTCTCTGAAAACAACATCCTAGAACGGTTCGTTCGACGACGATTTTGTTAGGTTGCATGTGCACATGGAATGCACACTGCGATTCACGTTTCGCTTCTGAACCGTTTCGCGTTTTACCCAAGAATTTATCACTGACCTTTCGTCGAGTCATGTGTTATCGATGCCAACGAAATGATCCTGTTGTGTTGTAGCTATGTCTAATGAGGATCGTTTGAGGAAGTTGCTAGCCGACTTGGGAAAAGCTACTTTACGCGGAGTTCGCAAGTGCCCGAAATGCGGGACTTACAATGGGTCCCGCGGTCTGTGTTGTAAAAACAAATATTGCGACGCCGTGTTTAAAGAGCCAGGTGAAAAGAGGAAACTGTCGACGGAGGCATGCAAGTTGATCACGGGCACGACTGCCCAAGTCTTCTCCGTGAGAGTACGCGACAAAGGGCCAGACTATCGTGGATTTGTTCAATTACCGTTGATAAACGCGACTATCTCCAACGAAATGACGACTCTCATTTCACAATCCACGGCACTGTGCTTCGTCGACAGCTGTGAAAGAAGTTTCGACACCAGTGTTCTAAAATGTCACGTAAGTCTCATAGAAATCGACCGAGACTCTATGTAAAGAACGTTCTTTCAACAGGAAAAAGATTCATCCGACGTGCCTGTGTCCACGTGCCAACATATACAGGCTGCCTTAAGATGTTACGCAGAAGCTCAGCCATTAACTTTAAGAAATTCTATTCTATCGTCGTTGAATGTAAATAATGAGATCAAGCAAGAAATTTGGCTACTGGCTACCGAGACCTCGGGTCCCTTGGTACAGCGTGTGTCCAAGAATATAATGGCAGTGAAATGCAAGGCTTCGCCGAAACACCCATTAGGCTATCTCCACTTCTCTCTCTTTGTTACCAAATCTAAGGATAAAATCGAGCACCGTTACTTCTGTTCTTGTTCCGCGTTTACAGTAAGTGAAACAAGAACGTAGATCACTCGGAAACGATGTTACAAGAAATGTCTATTTACAGGGTTTGGCGAAAACCGAAGATAAAACAGACGTAGCACAATCTTCCCAGAACAATCGTTGCGTACACTTTTATGCTTGCATCTGCGCGTTTGCCAGTGACGAGAAACTGTCCGAGGAGTTCAGCTATTACATAAATTTGGATCAAAACGATCTGAACATACCGAGGCCACTGTCGACGGTGTTGCAGAATAACGAACAAGATAAAATAATAGGAATCGGTAAGATCTATCAATCAAACATAGAATTCATAGTGAGAGTATATGGATTCTAGATCTCGATGGTTTAGCCACGGACGAAACGGACACGCATCTTTTGATATTCCGAGACGATTCTTTAACGGTACAAAGTTTAGATGGGAACAGGCTAGACTTGGATTCAATGAACTTAGATTCCACAATTTTACCACATAATATCGTTGAGAACATTGAAGTAGAATGTGATCGTACATTGTTAGTAGACAATAATATAATATCCCAGGTAAGATCATTGAATGAAACATGCATACACAGACTTCTTAAAGTATCGATTCTTCTGAAAATAGATAAATAACTTGGAGGTAATCAATCAAGGTGATTTACAACCTGATGGAAGTAGCGTCAAAGTGATGGACGATCAGACGAGCATAGAATCTAAGTACAACGTGCTGAACGATAGTCAGTATATATTAAACGATAATAATATAAAAATCCTAAACACTGGGACTTTGAAGATCCTCGATGCGAACACGATTTTAGATGTGAATAATATTAAATTAATCGACACGAACACCGTCTCGAACACGAGTGGTGTAAAGATAGTAGATAAGAATGCTTTAGTGCAATACGACACTGGTAGTCTGTCTAACACGGAGAGTAGTGTTTTACAACAGCCGAGTTCTACGAAACGAAAGAGGGACGACAAACCGGGAGGCGTGAACGCGACAAGCCTGAACAATTTGAGTTCGATAGAACCGAGGAAAGCTAAAGCGAAAGTACATATTGTGAAGAAGTATCAGAATCCTTGCGAGGATCTAGACGAGGCCAATATAAATTTACCCTTCGTCAAATGGCTCGCGTCGATCACGGAGAGGATAAATCAGACGATGCACTTTCAGTTCGATGGGAAACCGGATCCTCTAGTGTTTCACGTGCCGCAAATATTTTTCGACTGTTTGCGCGAGAGGATATCGTGCGGTGGCAAGAAGAAACGTCTACCGAACTCGACCACGGCGTTCGTCAGAAAAGACGGCGTGCCTTTGGGCACCTTCACCAAGTACACGTGGCAAATCACCAATATTCTGCATGTGAAGAGTATTTTCGAAACGCCTCTTATACCTTTGGAGATCACGAGGAGTTTCGTTCAGAACGCGGATGGTACATACGAGTTGTACAAAAGGGAAGAGACGGAGATCGATCGGTACAAAAAGACTAATAACAACGCGTTAATTAAACCTTTGGAATTGAAGACGTATTTGAAAGTCGGTAAGGAGAGCGCGAGACTCGTGCATGATCGAGAAACGAGATAGACCTTGGATTCTGAATAACGTGTTTCACGTTGCAGGGAATACTTCGCCGAATCAAGTAGAGCCAACGCCGTTCCTGATCGAATGGATACCAGATATCTTGCCGATATCGAAGATCGGCGAACTTAGAATCAGATTCGAATTTGGCCACGTAAAAAACGAGACGAATCACAGATGGAGGAAGATAGCATTATTAAAAAACTATTAAATTTTGTATTATACTCCTCCTCGAATTTGTATTACCAAATCTTCACTGTCCTGTCGTTATTAAATGCATGTCTTTCCAAATGGAACAGGAACGTAGTATCCGGATACTACGGTTCCTTCGCTAAAATGTGATGAACATGAAAAAGATTCTACGTAACTCGTTTCTAAATTAAGTTCAAAGAATTAAAGACTGAACAATTCTAAATGTTTGGATAGTTGAAAGGAATAACGATTCGTCGTGGTGTCAGTATAACGTATTGCGAGATTAGTCTCTTGTCCGTAAGTAAATATATCATAGAATTAACTTTGTTAACACGTAGAGAAACGTACTATCTCATAAGAATGTGATACGATGTAAATATATACGTGTACTTTAGACTATACGCTGTTATGTAAGAGCCGAAAGATGTTTGCATTATTTAATAAAAAAGAAACACTTAATTTGTTTTATGAGGCATCGAATAAATTACGTATCCGAAGTACAATTCCATCTACGACTTCTTTTTGCTTCTTTTCATGAATACTTCTCGAAAACACGTTCGTTCCGAGTTCAAACAGTGGAGGGAGAGGATCGCGTGAAATCGCACGCGATCGTGATTTTAAATTTTGCACCTTACCGCACGCTCACCTGTTTCTACGTTTAGATTCATTTCGAATAGCTCGAACAATCCCTATCGTCGGACAGACCAGCATTTTTCGACCGTGACATACATTTTTTCCTACGGCAATTTCGAATTTAATTACCGATCTCATGGATCATTTATGGAGTCTTTTTTTGTTCCGAGACTATTTAATATGTGTTACGATATGTTGTAACATGACTTACACGACGGTATCCAGGAACTCCATGCTCAGGCGAACTGTTGTGCGAGACGATGATTAACGAATACGAAAATTGTCGAGGCTCGATAAAATATTATCGCGAGGGACACTTATTTATCGAACGCATTCACTGAACGAACGAGACTATTCGCGATGCATTTGGTGCACTCTTTTGATTAAAGTATTCAACGGATGCGACAGTCCGCCGGAAGCTGGCTCTGACGTAGAGAGCCAAAGAAGCGTACACTTCCATTTTCTCGAGCCGTTCGGCGAACATAGAGCACGTGTTTGCTCGCCGGTCGCGTTTATCTCGTTTTACCTCTACAAGACTCACCGTCAGACTTACCGCTGGTACGAGTGTCCCAGCCAAAGACCGGGAGATCCTCGCTCGTTGTACAGACCGGTTGAACAATGAATCCGGAGAAATTGAAGAAGCTCCAAGCTCAAGTGCGAATCGGCGGCAAGGGAACACCCCGACGCAAGAAGAAGGTACGGAGGGTTTGTTATTTACATACGTGCTCGCGTGATTCCGATCGTTTGTTCCCGTGCCGCGATCCCGACGATTCCCAAACGTTTCTATTCGAAACGTCGCTCGAGTGATCTACGACGCTTCTACAAAGTTACCCGCGACTGCTCGATATTCTTCGTAAATAACTCAACGATCCGTGCAAGACACGTTCCGTTCGATACACTAATTTACCTTCACGCGTTTCGCGTTTCTAATAACGTTTCCGCAATCGCATCTCTTTCATTCTCGGTGGGTCAAACACTGATACTGTTCCAGTCTCGTTTCACGCTAGTCACTGAGAGTTCCATGGAACTGTTAACCTGACAGTGTTCCCTTTTACGTATTTTCAGGTGGTGCATGCAACTGCGGCGACAGACGATAAGAAACTACAGAGTTGTTTAAAGAAGTTGTCTGTAAATACGATTCCTGGTATAGAGGAAGTTAACATGATCAAGGACGACGGAACCGTCATCCACTTCAATAATCCAAAAGCTCAGGCAAGCCTGTCTGCCAATACATTCGCCATTACTGGTCATGGAGAGAACAAACAGATCACTGACATGCTACCAGGGATAATAAGCCAACTGGGACCCGAAGGTGTCACGCAGTTGAAACGATTAGCGAGTTCAGTGTCTGGTAGTACCGTTGGCAAAGCGACGCTGGAAGAAGACGACGAGGTACCGGAGCTAGTGGAGAATTTCGACGAAGCCAGTAAAGAGGAGGTGAGTAGGAAACACGCTGTTTGCAGGATGTAAGTTTGACACGAAACCCCATTTTTATACATCTCTGATCTGCTTTAGGTTACTCCAAAGAAGGAGATTGATGAAAGTGATAAAGCTGCTGATAAGAAAGAGGCTGTTACGATTGAAGAGAAGAAAGAAGCTCCCTTAGCTACACCCGAGGCTTAAAGTGTTCAATAACAAGGTAACGTTTCGCCGTGTACTCTTCCACAGATCGAACCGTGCACGAAAAGAATCTAACCCTTGTTCGTTCTCTTTTACAGCTATCTCACACAACCGTTGTAATTTGACAGGTCGAGTAATACGAGTTGCAAGTGCGTAACCGAGGTATCACTATACATACGTTATAAATATTTGACATACCCTATGATAATGCTATATAAGTAACAGTTATCGAGAAATAAAAATGGGAGGCTGTTACAGAAATCAAATATTTCTATAGACAATGATTCTTTACTTGTCGCATTCGCTGGAAGGTAGACTTTGTTTTAAAACTCGTCGCGATTGATCTAGTATTCTTCCCGAGCCAGTATCTCGCGAACGTCGGACAGTAGAGCAGCGTACATTTGTATTTTAGACGTCTCGATCGAACGTTCGCTCGCACGGGCTGCGACGCGGACTTGACGAATTTTCTTTTTATTCACGATCTTGTTCATAGCGTACTTCTGTCCCTCGTTTCGTTCACGATGCAGTTTTACTCGTCGAGAACGAACCCGTGGAACGTGTAGATATAATTAGCGAAATTTCCGGCACGAGGTAACTTTCTACTCGTTCGCAGTATAGAGGAGAGAGATTTATAATAAGCAGTATAGAAAAAAGAACGGTAAGAGAACGCATGGAACATTGAGAACGTGAATGGCACTTCTATTTTAATCGAGGAGATTGATGAACCGATATGAGAGTAGTCTTTGCAGCAACGTTTCGACGTTGCAAAAGCGAGGCGTAATATTTTGTACTTGTAATGTATCGATGAAATTCATTTGCTGGAAGTGCGGTTTTCTACTTAAAGATGATTCGTGTCCCCTGGATATTCATAAACGTATAATTTGCTGATATTTATATCTTCATCAGTAGAATAAAACTGTAACAATAGTGTAATTATGGAAATATAAGCACTGTCTGTATAGTAATTTCGTACGTGATCTTTCATTCATGGTCTCGCACTTCAAATTCTTATTTCAACGGATTCTCCGTTTCAATCGCGACGTCTTGTTAACGGAGATTCTGAAAGATTCATGGTTTACCCGGAACCTACGTCGTTTTCCTTCGGCGTACCGCCAAGATCTCGTCGAGAATTCCTCGCCTCTTTACCTATTTCCGTCCCGAAATAAAGGAGGCGTTCGGCGATCATACGCTCATCCCGTTCCATCTCCGTCGTTCCCTTTGAAGAGACATCTCGGCAGACATCGGTCTCGTCTTTTTGTTACATGCATCGCATTAAGCCGGGAGGTCTTTTAATGCGTCGCGGTAAAGAGAGCTTTGCCGGGTGAAAGGATCTAATAGGATTCACGGGTTCCGTCGAAACGTTTCTCGCCAAAGCCGACTCGTGGCTTTACGCTGAGGAGTTTTTTTTATTGTTAACATTGCAGTCAAATTATTGTTAATAGTACAAATACTTTCTCATAAGGAGATGCCGCGTGTCAGCGTTCACTTATACAGATTCTTTTCGCCAAGGCAGATTTCTCATCCTTACGTCTATTTTAAATCTGAACAGGTACAGAGCTCGGAGTGACGGTGGAGAATTAATTATATTCCTTAACGTTACTTAGCGACGCTTCGAATGACGATTCCTGGTCTCGTTTCCCTTCGTTCGGCGCTGAAAAATTAATAAAAGAAACGACGTATCCAGCGTAAACAATGACGTGTCTTCGTTCCTAATTAATCCCTTCCGTTCCTGGTGAATGAGAGTCGGCGCGCCATTCTTCGGATGCAAAATCATGCCATTGTCACCTGAGATTAAAAACGAGAATCCAACTACACGCCTATCGCGCGGCGACACTCTCCTGTAGAGAAAAGGGACGCTCCTCTTCTTTCCGTTTGCGTTCCTTTCGTTCGTTCGACCGACTCGTAATATTAAAATCGGTGCGCCGAGTCGACTACACGTTAAGAGATATAACCAGCGAGAAGTTTCGAAGTAGGCGCGCTCGAGAACGTGGCCATTATTTGATTGTGCAAGAGTCAAAGGGCAGAGGGTCGCGCGATCAAAGAACGAGGAGCGACGAAGTGCGAGACGTTGAAGCGAGAATACAATGGTCCGTGACAATTAAATCGTACGAGTAGAAAGCGACGATTATTAAGCTCATTAGGGGTGCAATTAAAAAATTCTCCTTTTCGAACGGGGTGACATCGCGAGGATTAAATAGACGGAGTTTATGCATTCGCGATAACTGAAAAGAGACGATCTCCGAGTACTAAAAACGTTTTAATTAGAATGAGCGATCCTCTAATAAAGGAGAAGCGTAGACATCGGATATTGTAAGTACAAACTTTTGAGAGTAGCTGTTAATTATCCTTGAACAACGATGGATAACAGTGCTCGGTAAGCAGCCTCGAGCGAACCATTGTTTCGGTATCGATGATATCCATGAAACGTCGCGTACAACGTCGCATCCGTTTCTCTTTTTCGGCGATTACGATCTCGCGGTTGCACAATTTTCACGCCGCGTCGAGCTGGTAGTGTCACAAAATTTATTAAGCTATACGTCCCACCAGCGAGAGTAATGACGGAAAAGAGAAATGGTTTATACTATACGAGCTTTTAACGCAGAGAAATGGACCGTTGCTAGATGCACAGCAATTTTATTTCGTGTCGCTCTTAAATTAAAGATAGTTAGCTCGAGAAAATTCTTAATGAATTCTTTATGGTACACACGTCGATCTTGATACAATGATTAAACGATTTTGCTGGTCGTAGGTACTCGTTGAGTCTCGGATTTCGTCCGTCGGATCAGAATGTGTAGCGGGGGTGAAAAAGATAGAACGGGTCGAAGCAGGAGGTCCGATCTCGTTCGGTCATCACAATATTTATTTTAGAATATTCATAGTCCCTCTTTAAAGTCGGCGATTCTATTTTTATAAAAAGATCTAAACGGAGTTCGACGGAGTTCATGATCCCCACGTTCGGTCGATGACTTTGCTATTCTATTTTGCATGTTCGAAAGTAACTTGATAAAGGAAACTGTATCTGAAGACCGATTTCCAATTTGCATCAAAGTTTGATGATGCGAGCGACGCGATAATGCGAAATAACAATCAAACAAATTGCATCCACTTTTTTAATTCGCGTACAAACATTGTAGGTAAACCAGTGAATACACGTGTCTTCGAGTCTCAAAGCAGCGACTCGAACAGAGGGAGAGAGGACTTTTGTCCGTATTTTTTCTAAGAGGTCCTAAATCGTTATCCTCTAAACTTTTATTTCCTAACACATTAGCTTTTTTTTTTAACTATAACGACATCGATGGCGTATGTTAATCTCGTTTCTTATCGCGTGATTACAGTACGAATTCTTAATTGTTACGATTTTCCGATTGATTGGGTTTAGGTGTACGCGGCTCGTTTGCCGACTCGAGCAGAAAGTAGTGTACACATTATCGGGTATTCTCGCCTCGAAATAGATCGTGGTAGTTACAAAAATTATTGGTACGTTTCTTACCCGAGTAAATCGCGATTATTAAAAATATTAAATGCCTTTCTGATCGTTCAGCGCGAGCGTCGATTCACCCGTTCGAGTTTAATTCCTTAAATCGTTCGTACGTACCAATACTTCTTGCGGTCGCTGTGATTCATCGATGGAAGCGGAGGAATGGAAATAATAGGCGTGTCAGGAGGTAAGACTGAACGATTATCTGGTCTCGTTCGAGGGACAACGATATTTTTCTAGGATACCAATTTCTACGCTCCGAACGAGAACATTGTTTCAAAGAATTTAATACAAACGATCTACGTTCGCGGCTCGTACACGGTTTAAAGAGATTTATCTGGATATCAGCCTTCTAAGTACCATTCTTCTTTTAACTTTTCACCAAGCTTTCATCTCTGCCTCTTCATCTCTACCGAGCTCTTGGTCGTTATGACATTAGTCTCTGATTCTATTTCGACTCTCTCTTCCAACTTCAAGTAGATTTTTTCCCGTCTATCGTAGTAGAAATACTGTTTTATTTTGTTCTTCTAAAACAAATCGCCAATACTGTTGATCCTTCCAATATTAATTTTACGGTCTAACAAAACTTCCATGTACAGCGACGTCAGTACTTGAAAGGCTGTATCGGAATTCAAGGAACAAATTCGAATTGAAACAGCCATTCGTTTTCTCATACTCCACGTGACACACAGCGATCTCCAAATTTCAACGCACACACGCTCGACCTCGCCGCTACACATATTATCTCGTTTTCGAAAACTGCTACGAACGACGAGGCTCGAATCTCCTTCGTTACGTTCCGATTGATTTTCACCGATACACACCGCCTTAACATAGTTTTTGATTTACGTGTCACATACAAACAGCTCGCATAAGAAACGTCTAGGATTGTCTAGCTAATGATACGTTTTTCCATCCCTGGCTCGATACCAGTTCGTCTCCAGATGAGATTTGATATTTCTTCTAATGACAACCTTCGTCTCACGCCATTGACAGCTCCTCCTCTGTTTCCCATGTATTTCCGTGCCAATCCCTGTCGGCAATCGAGCTCATTCGAGCGGAATTCACTTAAAGAGGAAGTAACAGGACGACCAAAGGGGTTCGCGTTAAAAACGAGGATACGAACATAAATTCTGTAAGCACGATCGCAATAGACGTGAGCCAACACGATTGTCACTATTAGTTCATTAAGTGATAATGATTAAGGATGTATAGGCTATACACTTAAACAATGCTAGCATGTTGAATTTGTTATTATACATTCCTATTACTAATAAAAAGCTACCTGCAAAATTTGAAATCAATTCATGGGTTTTTTGAAAAATTATAGTGACTTAAAATTCGCATGTACTCTTAGATTTTTTGGGTCATTCCAAAGGGAATGCATCGTATGCGTGTGCGGTATGAGTATGAGTATGAGTGTGCGTGTACCGGTACTAGTGTGCAGTATGCCTTCCTAAATTCCACCATATAACGGAGCGAATTTAACTTCATCCCTCTCTCTCGTTTCAATCAATCCATTTTGCTCGCGTTTTAGTATATCCGCGCCGCGAATAGTAGTTTACCAGTCAGACTTTGCTCGAGTACCAGAGGGAGAAAAGAGTTGTGGTCCTGTATCTCGGGTGGCCTGTCTCGTCAGTCGCTGGGGCTGTTCCTGTTCCATTCCCAGGTGCAGTGCGTAAGCTCCGTGAGACGGATTGGTCGTGGTCAGGCCACTCCTGCGCTGAGGCATCGTCATTCGGGTGCAGGGTCCTGCTCGGCTCGAACTCTGGTGCCCAAGTGAAGTCTGACATTTTGTTCTCACCTTAGTTTCCATTTAGAGTCAATAGTTAGTCCATAGTTAGAGTCAATAGTTAGAGTCTTGTTCGCAATCGTCTAAAATCCTTCTCCAATATTCGCTCCGTATAATAGGGTGGCAATTTAATAGGGAAGGGGGCAGTGGGGATTGTCCACTGTCCGGGTCTCGAACGTAGTCACCTCCACGCGGTGAGACCTGGGTTGGTAGCGTTTNGGAAATGCGTTTTTCTAAGATACATGAACTTTTGGGATTGACTGTATAGCCAATACATCCTTAAAGGATCACTGTTTCAGTGAAGACCAGATTCACACTTCTCTCACTTATCGCCGTTCGTCGGAATGATCGTTTCATAGCACCATGCACGATTATCATCTACGTAATTAATATTTATTTGCTTCGGTGACTCGAGTCTACCAGTGGTACAGTTTTCACGACTCGTCGGTAATACACAGGTGCTCTCCGTTCTGCGTGCGCTCAGAAGACGAAACATCGGGGCGAGATAAAAAAATATTCTTTCTCCATTTAATTAAGTGTCCGAACGTATGAGATATGGTGAAGTTTCGATCATTTTTCTACCTCTCTACATTGTACATTGTCGTTCCTCTTTGTCCTGGCGAGTTCCATTGGAATCAATGATATACGGAGCGGAGAGCGTCTAATTCGCTCGGGGAAGGAACCGACGCGGCGAACTAATATCGCGTTTCATGAATTGGGTATGCTCGTTTTGTTTCGAACGCGGACTTACGAGTATATTGGTCCGCTCCCCAAGCTGGCAACTACGTTTACGGCCGGTCGGTGCCACAACTTTATTACTGTTTCACCCGCAACCGCAACCCCTTCCTTCCTTCCTTCCTTCCTTTTTTCGGGCTCGCCTTGAAACGAGATTCGGGTCAGGATACAGAGGCACGCCTCGCCGGAAAGTCTCTCCTCCGCGGACGAATTTTCCGTTCGCGTCGACTCGGTTTTTTTTAAGAAGGGATACAAGAGTCAGACTCGTGAACAAACATTCCAAGGGGAAAGTAGGATATTCGATAGAATCGAGGAGACGTCGGAGCATCGTGATAAGAGATTAAAATTGTAGCGACGTACAGTTTTGTTGAATTATCAAGTTGATTAATCTGCTGCTTGTTAAAGTTACTTCTTTAACGACCGTTTTTAATAGAGACTCCTCCGAAGCATCGAGGTTTAAAGTTTCCTTAACTAACGCGTTTTTATAGTCAATTTTCTTTAGGAACTCGTTACACTGTGCTGCATCGTTAGCCGTAGAAGAACAGTTACTCGTAAACAAATTCTATTCCGTACATAAAATTCTAGCGAATTTCATTTAACGATTCTCCAACTATCGAGACCTCGAACGAGCATGCATATACTCGGATATCAGGAGAAATGATTTCAGGACAGAAAGTTCGATGCTAAAGTAAAGGTCGTTTAATCCGTTCTTAGCACGATGGTAATTAAGGAACGCTGGAGAATTATAAAAGCGGTTGAAAATAAACGCGCCGGTAATAAAGATCAAGGATTTTTGATATACCGAGTGATTCGGTCAATCCGAACCACTGCGTTTTTATCCGACTGCCATCGTTTTAATATCGTCATCAACAAACCCGAAACGCGTTCGATATGCTTCCTGGTAATCGTAAAGCTAGAGGTACAAGTTTTATTTCTTCGCTTATCGATAACGCTGACCGCGGCGTGTAACGTGGTAACATTTTTACAGCAAGAAATAAACTCGATTCCCTGCCCCGTTTCCCCGCTACCATCATTTTATCAGCGTTCTAAACTAAAGTTCTAAGTTGCCGCGTCTAAAAATGTCTTTCCTTCTTTTTACGCAAGGTAACAAAATGCGACGCGATATCTTTTTATACCGCGACTCAGACCTTGTGCAAAATTCGGAATGCCCTCGTTCAATCACTGACCAGCGAATTCGTTTCCGGAACGAGCAGGGATTTAATTCGTAGATTCGTACGAACCCGTATCGTTGGTTTTTCATCTTCTTGGAAGCAACCACGACTTTCCGACGTCGCGTCTCTTTCGTTCTTTCTCTTTTTAATCCTTGTTTGTCTGTCCGTCCGGGGAGGTATTATCGCCCCGCGGGCGTCTGACATAAATTTTTCATTCCAAACGTCGATCCCGGAAACTCGGAGATTCCACGGTTCGCGTCGCGTCAGCTCGCTGGCAATGCTGAAAATTCAATTCCCCCGCCTCCGATCGATCATTACAGGATACACCGAAAATTCCATGACGTATCGTCGTCTAAGCTCTGCTAAATGTTTCCCCGTATGCTCCAATTCTGTCAAAAATATTGATATCCCTTCTAATTCGCTGGATCGACACATCCCCCCGTCTCGTCAATTTTTTATTTCCCCGCGACGTTCTCGTTCCACAATAATAATTCAGTACGATCGTTCGTTCGATCGTCAAATCAGTTACAATAATACTGTTCGTTTTATTTCCTCGTCACGTTCTACATAAAATGATTACGACGCGACGAAAGGAACCGCGTTCTTTGGTGTGTACAAAAATTCCATATCGAGGAACGAAGGAGTAAATGAATCGTGGAATTGACGGAAGGATTTTTACTACCTCGTTAGGCCAGACGAATCGTTCGAACGTCGTAAGTGTTCGAACCATTAATCTCAGGGATCGAGTCAAGGATTCGAACGGGTAAAAACATTCTTGGTAATCGCACTCCGGAGATGCGGGGCTACGAGATGGTTTTACTGCCCTCACGTGTCACGAGTGATTTTCCAACGGGTTCGATTCCATTTTCCGATTGACATTTACCACCGGCACGTGGTCAAGCGCACACGGCGCCCGACCGAGGCCGAGATCTATCCGGGGAGGTGGACCTCTCAGAATCGTTCGCCTATAATTATTTACAGATGAATCGAGACTACGTATAGACTGCACGTACCGATCAAAAATATATTTTCCACTGGAACGAATCGTCGTTAAAAACCGGACTAACTTTAATCTGATAAGATCTTTTATGTTTCTGATTTTCGTTCATAAGTCGTATTGAGCCCAGATCCCTTTTTACAATATCACTAACGTTTTTTTAAATGTACATACCTTAGAGATACTACGTTCCTTTATAAATAATAAATAAATCACTCTTGTAGACTAGACGCGCGGTGCGAGAATTTCTCGCACGCTATTGATCGATCGCTTACAAAAGTACGTTTAAAAAAATAAAATTCAAACGATCTCTTTGGTTCATTTAATACTAGAAGTAATCGTTTCAAATCACTGGAGCTTGACGAAACAAACGTATGATCTTACCTTCCGCGGCCGATGAAATAAATAAGAGACGTCGAGTTGCGTCGGAGGATCGGCGATTGAAAAGGTACGCGCGCGAATGAATTGCAAGTTCTTATTAGTATGATCAAAGACCGAGGCTGCACTGGTAGACGCGCGTCGTACATTTAGATTGGAAGAGTTCCTATTTCATACTTACTTCTTTAGTTTTCCGCTATAGTTACACAGACCGTTTCAGGATTACGCGGCGCTACACAAATTTTTCATTTACCTCCTCCTGTACGTCGTAATTAAGAGAGAGACCACACGTTGTTTCACGACGCGATCGAACATCGTCCGCCTGTCAACGTTCGTTACTCCGCGTCGCCTCCTCCGATCGAGAGTCACGATTTTTAAAACCTGAAAGAATTTCTACGATTCTCTCATTCTCCTTTGACCGCCCGATTCCCACGAGCCGTGTCACTCGAGGCAATTGGAGCACGGTCCGAAGAAACTTCCGCCACGGAACACGACCTTTTTCCTTGTCATCCCGCGGAGACAATGTCCCGGTGCCATTTCTTCCCCTGTCACCGGGAGAAAAGGATTTCACGGGGTCACTCGTCTCGACACCGGACCAGTCCTCGCGTACAGTGGCTGGCAAAAGTTGTTCTCACTTACTAGCACTCCTGCGAACATGACCTAGTCGAAATTGGCGGCGCGTTAATTGTTTCGCGGACGAATCGAAAAGTCGTTTCGATCAGAGGAAGCTCCCCTTAAAAGTCAGGTCTCGAACTAGTTAACGGCGAGTAATTTGATCTCCCGGTTCTGCGAACAACAGATCCACCGAAGACCGATCGGGAACTCGCAGCCGAAACCTCTACGATGTCTGCGCGAATTTCATTACAAGTATCGAGCCCCGTAAACAGTCCCGTTTCGTTCGAAACAAAAAAGATAAATAAAACTTTCCTTCACCTGCATCACATTCTCTTGCAACTCCTTTCGTGCTCTTCTTCTTCGATCTTCTCGCGTTTCGTTTTAAAATCACCGACACCGGTTTGCCAATTTCGATTCAAGGATCGACGCGTCGGCACCGACGGAGCCGCGGCCGCGAGAGGATTAATCCGAATCATCGATCATCAGACTGGTCTCGACGATCCGACAATCGATGGATCATCCCGATCATAGGAAACTCTCGTTGGGCGCGCTCGTCGCGATGTCGATCGCCTCGATCCCCTGATTGTTCAGACGCTCGGCGTCGTCCATCTCGCCGGCCTTTATCTCGCAGTTGTTCACCGGGTCGCCGTACTGGCTCTGGTAGAACTCCTCCCTCATCATGTGGTTCAGGTTGCTGCAACGGAAGCACAGGATCTCGCGGAACGGTTTACGGAAGTCTCTGTTGAGGGTCGCGTATATTATCGGGTTCAGGAGGCTGTTGCAGTAGCCGAGCCAGAGGAACAGGCTGGAGAGGAACGCCGGTATCGAGTCCGGGTCCTTGACGAACAGCTTGACCAACGTCAGGACGAAGAACGGTAGCCAGCAGCCAACGAACGCGCTCATTATTATCCCCAACGTGGTGCTGGCCTTCCTCTCCTTCGCCAAGTGGAACCTCAGCTTCTTCTGGTGCGGGGAATTCGTCACGCTGCAGGTACTGTTCAGGTGATTCCTGACGATCGACGACTTGGTCATCGGCGGCGTGGTCGTCGTCGACGACGTCAGCACCGGCTTCTCGAGCTTCTGCAGCATCGGGCATTGGGACTCGTTGCTCTTACGGGGACCGCCGGTGAAACAACGAACCGCGTGGCCGCTGCACTGTAACAGACAGTCGGATATCTCATGAATCAGAACCTGATCGATTCGACGATTCTTCTTTTTATTCATACGTCATAAATGGGAGGAATGAATATGCTTGGAAGGAGAAATGTACAAAATTTCCGTAAAACGTGAAGTCAACGAGTACTTCTCGTCGACTCGACGCGTTTTGGTAAAGTGGATTCATACGTTTAATAAGCTGGGAGTCCCTCTCCTTATTAAACATGTGCAGAGGCGTGGGAAACCTTTGGAGGGACTCGATTAGAGGGTTCGATCTGCATTTTGGCTTTGCATCCACTTTCGGCGTCGCGTCTCGGTTAATAGGATTTCTCGTACGTCTCTAATGGGCAAGTTATATCGCGCAGTTCGATTCAGTGAATTGCGTTTGATGTTAAGGATAACTTGCAACCACTTTGCCTAAATATACGGGCGTAAGTAACGCGATACTTGGGCTAATTAATACGCGCCACGCATCTATGGTCGCAGTCCCTCAGTCGTACTCTCAACATATTCGTGTAACATGATTTACCATTTAGAATTTCATCGGTAAAGCATAGTTTACAAATCGTCGATTGATCCGTTTAGTAGGGAAAATACAAAAGCCACAAATTCTCTATTTTATTGAATCCATTTTATCAGGTTTATCGGAAAAATGGCAGCAATAAATCGAGACAAATAATGGTGATCGAAGTTTCGAAACGAATTCCTGAATTTTCTCGATACAGTCGACGAACCGGGGTCAGCGATTCGAATTGGACGGTCTTTAAGATCGGCTCGTCGACCCGAAACGGTGGTCGGGTTGAATCCGCGATCTCCACGAATGAACGGGCACCGCGAAGCACGCCGGTTTTCCCGAGGATGAACAGATTAGTCCATTGGAACTGGAACGAGCCTGATTGCAAGGTCACTTTATCGTCCGGCCGACAATTAGCGAATGAAAATCCCCGGATGATGATCATTGAGTCGGTCGCACGCTAATTGAATTGCTACCGATTCGACGTTGTTTGTTTTAAGGATGTATTGGCTATACAGTCAATAACAAAAGTTCATGTATCTTAGAAAAACGCATTTCCTATAATTAAAAATAGTGCACTTTTCTTCTAATTTCGATATTTAATGAGTTACATAGGATTATATGGCATTTTATTGATGTTGACAAAATCCGACCATTCCAGCGTNTAACAAATTCAACATGCTAGCATTGTTTAAGTGTATGGCCTATACATCCTTAAATGCTCTCGATTCATACGCTTTTATCTAACTCGGTTAAACCAGTCGAATAAACTCGGTGAAAATTGGAATTTCCAAGAGCAATTTCTTTAACGAACGGTTCTTTCGTCGTCAGAGAGGTTCTCTCTCTCCTCCTCCGGTCTCAAGAACGATTTTATCTACGAGTCCGTCGCAAATTACGCGAAACACTGCACGATCAAAATAACCGCGATATAAGGAAAAGGATCGACGGATCAACCGTAAATGCAGATGAGCGTTAAGCCGCAACCGCGGGGACGACACGGTGGATAATCGAGAGAAACCGTCGAAGACGCCGCGGGTCTCTAACCGGAAACGAGAAGACAGAGAGATCCGGTAGGTTTACGAGTCTAGTTACCCGACGGTATTACCTTCCGCTCGCCTGATTACTTTTATCGCCCACCCAACCTTTTTTTACGCCCTAATTTCATAGCAGATTAGAATCTTGCGGATGCTCGAAATTCGGGCCACCCAGTTTTTCCTCTCCCCGCGCGCGGCTCTTTTTACATACGAAAATAAAGCCCGGACAGATACAGAGAAGTACGGAAGCCGTGAAAAACAAAAAAATAGACGCCTGAATCCGATCTCTCTGGGCGACGATTGGCCGGCGGGTGAATGATTGGTAGTAGATTTAAAGGGTTTTCCTTACCGCTCTCATATTATCCTGCGTATCGCCGTGAAGGTTCGATCGTATCTACAACAAACGTTTTACGAACACTTTCAGACTTTTATGCTCATGTAAGTCGTGCTACAGGATACGAGATCACAGCGGGTAATGGTAAGTAAATTCGTGACGATTCGAGGTCTAGCGAAATGAGATGAGTAGTAAGAAATGAGAAAAGTAGTCGTAGGCGGCTAGGACGCGAGCGTCGGGACTACGGGTGGCTCTCCGATAGACGTAAGATGAATGAAGATGTGGCAGGGAAGAATCGTAAAATAGGAACCTCATCAAGAGAACAGACGTTCTGAGTTTAAAAACGGATGAGAAAGAAATGTTGTCGTGAATCATTCGGGCCACAGATAATCGAAGAAATGGACGGATGGCTAGAGGCTCGGAAATGGGATGAGTACGTCACGAATTTAGATGAACGGCTTGAACTACGTAATATGCAATACATACTAGCGATTCCCTACGCTGACACGATCAGCATGCTTCCACCCGCGGATGATCGATGCGTAAGCACTAATATCGCCGCTGCTACCATCCCGAAAGCTCAGGTAAATTACATTAGGAAACCAGCAGTACTACATCTGATCGATTTCTAATACAAGCTTCTAATAATTACGCATTGATCGAACGAATAGGAACGTGTCGGTCTACGATTAAAGGGACTCGATTAGAATGTTTTCTATGAGTGAGTAGGCGCGCGGTAACGAGAAAGCTCGTGTGAAAAGGGATTCCATCAGGAATAAGAAAGCATGGAGAAAAAGGAAGGAAGGAAGGAAGGAAGGGAAGGTAAGGGATCAGGTCGGTATAGAGAATTGGTGGTAGGCGACGATCGAACCAGGCTCGTAGGAAGCTCTCATAAAAGGTGGCTTTCTCGTTACACGCGAAACCCATTTGCCGTCGGGATCCCGGTCGAAATCTCGATTGTTCGGGCGCAGAAACGAGCCCCGTCGTAGTCGTCGTCGGTTCGAAACCCCGGAGAGCGATATCCGAGCCGTGTTTTTGTCCCGGCGGCCGTCGTTATCCCATGAATCGTCGCGGGAAATTGAATCCCGTGGCGTTGCACGTTGGCGCGAGGACGCGTCCCGCGCCCGTCGGTCTGTGTACCGGAAGATTTCAACCGGAAATGCACCCGAGACCACGCGTCGACGCCGACGCGGCGTCGCGACTCGTGATAGATTGTGCGAGCAGGCGGCGACGGGTCGAATTTCGATGGAGATTCATTCTCCGGCGAGATTCCCGGCAGCGCAACGTCGCGATTTGCAATTCGAATATCGGTGGGAGGAGAATCGAGCGTAAAATTTCTGGTTAAAATGTATTGCAGTCGATCAGCGGAGACGCTTGAAACAATTTGCCGAGCGATCTCCGCTCGCGTCGTCCAATTCGACGTTTCAAGTTCTGTCTTCGATCCGTGTGATACACAAGAGAAAGGATCCAGCGTTGGATTTACGTCGAGACCGAAGGGACTCGGTGCAGTAAGTTTCGTGCCAATGCCAGATAGAAGACGGGTTCTTTGCATGAGTATAAAAATTGTTTTGAACCACGTTACGATTTCAGTCGAATCAACGCCGAGGCGTCGCTCTGACTAACTTTCTAATTCGCGATATAATTTTTTTTCTGTCAGCGAGAGAGCGGATGGAACGGGGACAGTAGAAAGTTCCTCGAGTTGCTTGAAAAGTATGATTCTCCTCTTTCTTGTGAATTAACTCCGTTCGTGAATCCGAAATTAAATGAAGCCGGATTTAAAGTTCACGCCGGACTATTAAAACTTCTGATTCCATTTTTATACACGTGCCACGATTAAAGTCGGCACGAAGAGAAGCCCACCCCCGTTCGTTACGATCTTGGTAGGAATGTATTAAAGGCCCATCGGCGCCGCATTTAGCTATCGAAAGAAAAATATGGACATCGATACCATTGAGGTTACCATGAAACGCGCAACATTTTGATACGATTTAACGACTCGATAACTAGTCACGGTAGATCCGTACGCTGAGAATTATTAATCGGACGCGTGTGTACCCGCGTCCCACCGGCTTCTCTGTTCGTCCGGTGCGACACCGGTCGCGCACGATTCCCCGCGGGTGGAATTCGGTATTACGAGTCCGTTTAATTACGTCCTCGTGCCGCACGTATCGCTATTTGACAATACCCATCGCCGCGTAAATATGCGGATTACAAGATAGCAGATGAATCCGACGACCGGAGCTAATTACAGGATTTCGAGCGTCGAAGAAACGAAACGCTCGGCCAGGAAGTACCGATTTAGAATATTTGTACACGACGGATTTCACGACTTCGGCCAGTGCGACCGACGCCAAGTCCCTCCCTGGGCGCATATGTTACGGTAACGCGTCGTGGACAGTTACCGGACCGCGAACAGTATCGTTTAATCGCGACACAGCGACCATTAAGTGTGTAATTAACAGAGATTCGCAGTGGTCCTTTGGCCGACAAACGTAACTCGTTTGCCGAGCAGTTGCATTGTTTGCTCCCAAAAGGGAAAAGGCGGCGATCCATGAAATGCGGGTGAAAACAAGGAGGCAACGCGGCTGTACGTTCCGTATTGTTTGCCCGTCGCACGGGTTCGAATCGTGGCCATCCGCTCGAAATGATTCATAGCCGGGATTGGAATCGGTTGCCGAAACTGCATGGGGAAGATTTAAATACGTTTCAGAGGAGGAGAAGAGCGGGGTGGAATTTAAGTATGTGTGCTTCGAAGATTTAAAAAGGGAACCAGGAACGTTCTCTCATATTTTATCGCGTCGAACCCGCCTGGCTGTGATTATTAAAATCTCAATTAGATTTATAAAAGGCGACTTTGAAAATCGAGTCATTGAAATACATAAAGTAGATTTACGGCGAAATACTTTTGAGTCGGAATTTTCATTTTGTCAAACAAGTTTTCGTTTATCGGTGGCAGTCTTTCGAACCGCTGTACCCCCAATTGATTTACTCCGTGAGTGGCGAAAACCGGTGGACTCGAAAGGGGCCAAATAGTGTGCAGGTAGAAAAGAAATTGACGAGAGAGAAGGTGAGTGCGAAGGATCGTCGCGAATCCACGTATTTCCAACGAGTCGGTCGAAGCGTGGCAAAGACAGGGAGCGCCATACTGTCTGTGCGTGAATGCCAAGTAAATCCAACGAGATGTGCACTTTACGTTTAAAGTACGTTTCGAAGTTTATGCGGGGGACGCTGAAATTTTTAATAATCTCAGCCATAATGTATTCAGCGATCGCGGAACGTTTCGAGCGTAAATTCAACGAACGATCTCTTTTCTCTCCGGATTTCTTTTATCTTGTACCGAGGAGACTCAGATTTCAAAGAGACGAGAATAATTTATCCGTGAAAATAAACAAATGTTCTTATGAAGGAACGCGTTTCGACGACCGGCCTGCTAAGTATTCCGAGGATTCTTCCCTCTCGAAGGTAGCGATATTAAATTCCAAAAGGCGAGCGACGATTCGAAGAGCTCGCGAAACATTTTCAACAAAGAGTCATCGTCGTGACGTATCGCGCGCGTTTTACAGAAACGTGGAAACACGACGTTTCACCATGGATTCGACTTTTTTAATTCGAATCGCTCGTAAATCTTTCGCGAAACGAACTCTCGTTTCGTTGATGATATATATTTGCGACGCGTTCAATTTCATTTGACAACCTAGAATTTGTCTCGCATGGACACGTGGATTTATTCCGTAATTTTTTATCATCACTGGAAACATATTTGCTTTTCATCATTCGAGCCCCATGCGCACGACGTCCGGGAATTTGAAAGGTTTGTCAAGAATAATTTGTCAGCGAAACGAGATCCACGATTCCGCGCTTTTTCCTTAAGCGACGTTAATAATAATAATGGGACATGGAATTGTTTGATTGGACGTCGAGGTCAGTGTTGGTAAAAATAAAGAAACGAAACGCCTGAATCAGAGCACATAGATCGTAATGATGAATCGCTGTCATTAACCATTTCCTTGAGATTGCAAATCAATTTCGTTCGACCGACGACGACGTCTGTCGAGACGAGTTTCAGGAGGACGATTTAAAACAAAAATTGTTTCAAGAAAATGCCGTTTTCCACTCTCTCATTCGAGTGACACGTTTCTTCGTTAAAAACAGATTGAACGATCGATGGCCGGGCGACGAGCGCGATTAATCATTGTCAGCCCCTTTCGGAACGACGGATCGATCTCTTTTCAACCGTGGAGGGAGGCGAGAGGATAAAAATTAATCAATTTGCTCGGCATTCGCGTGATCGTGTACAGATAATCGGGAAAATTTCTTTACGGTCGGCGGCTGGGTATCAACCCGTCGGTTCCATGTACCTAAATGATAAAAGGAAACGTGGCCGGAGGGAGCGGGCCGCTTAATCGCGATCCTGACTTCCGTAAGAGATTTATGCCTCCGGGTGATTCACCGTGCCCAAGAATCGGAAAATCCGATCGAGGGCGCACTCCTTTTTCTCTTGCACGATTTGTATGTACTTGGAAATGCGCATACCGCGTGAAATTCTATTACGATACGAAATTCTCGTTAATATAAATCGTTTTAAAGAACGACTGAATCATTCCAGCAGCGTTCATATATTTTTATATTTCGAGTAAAACTACCGAGTCGATGGAGAACGTCGTGTCGTCTATATAAAGGAACTGCGATTGAAATCGATTTTGTCTCTTTCGAATTCGAGTACGGTGTTCCAGAATTCATTCTTTCCTCCCAGAAGACGGCTAGACCGGAACCACGGTCCATTTATGAATTTCCTAAATACGATACGAATTTCGTTCGAGATTTCGTTCACGAGCGTTCGTTAAAAAACGCGGACGAATTAAGATCCCCGACAGGGTCTCGCTTATTAACAGTGACCGATTATGCTAATTGATACAGCCTTGCACTCGAACACACACACACACATACGTAAGCGGCGTGGGCGAATTTATTTCCGCCAGTGTCGATCAGATAAGAAGGCAGTGGCGTGTTGACTTTACAAAAGACTCCGCATTAACGCGGTTTATCTAGTATAGCTTTTC